GATTATTTTCCAAAAATAGTCCCTAACTTCTTGGTATAGCAGGTCAAATTTAAATACGAACTATGCATAAGCTATAAATAATCTCAACTATAGCCGATCTTCTTTTATTAATCCCAATTATCAACTCTCAAATTTAGAAAAAAAATTATAAATTTTCAAATTGAATATTTTTAAACATGTAAAAATCATTGTGAAAACTCTATAAATGTACCGAAGTTAAATAAATTAGTTTAAGTCATTTTTTTTATTATTTTTTTTCACTACAACTTCTTTTTTTCTTTTTCCCAATTTATTATTCCCAGTTGTGTTAACAAGTTAGATTTGATATTATTTTCCTTTATTCAATTTTACACTTTCCGTTTTCAAAAAGTAAAATGCGACTAATTTTGTATACGATTGAAAGATTTATTCTAAATTTTTTCATGAAAATATATTGTATATATTTTAATGCTATGTTAATTCTAAATTCTCTATTTTATCCATTTTAGTATTTGTAATTTCTTTCTATTTCCTTTATTTTATATTATTATATTCTATAAATTATAAAATATAGTTTATCCTTCAATTTTAGTGATTTGGGACATAGTTTTTGAGGTTTTGGTTAGTTTTCATGAAAATGTATTAATATTGTAATTTTAAATGATATAATGGAAATTGTACAATATGAAGAACAAATGTATCACTTGAAATTAAAATATTAATAGAATTTCATTAACATAGTCAAAACCTCCAAATCCTATGTCCCAAATCACTAGAATTAAATGATAAACTATATCATATCATTTATAGAATATAATAGCATAAAATAAAGAAAATCTAAATAAAAAATAGAAAAAATAGATAATTTTGATTTTTACAATTGAGATAGCATAAAAATTTAATAAAATAGATTTTCAAGAAAAAGTCTAGAACAAAGATTTAAATCGTAATTTTTTAATCACAATATACTTTGTGAAGACACTAAATATAAAATTGAATAAAGGAAAATAATACAAATTCATAACTTCTTAACACAACTAGGAATAATAAATTGGAAAAAAGAAAAAAAATGAAATTTTAGTGAAAATAAATAAAAAATGACTAAAATATTCTTATTTAACTTCGGTACATTTGTAGAATTTTCATAATTATTTTTACATGTTTAAAAATATTTAATTTGGCAATATTTTAAAAATTGAGATTAATAAAAGAAGATCGACTATAGTTGGGATTATTTATAGCTTACACATAGTTCATATTTAAATTTAACCTGCTATACCAGGTTGTAGTAGGTTAGAGACTCTTTTTGGAAAAAGGTCCCTATAGTTGGGACTACTGAGGAATAACCGATAGTTGAGATTATTAATAGTGGACCAGCAATAGTTGGGATAATTATTTTCAATTTTTCCATACATTTATTATGTAGTGACTTAAATATAAGACATTACCACAACCACACAGCTCCACAAAAGTGTAAGAGTATGTTTGGCACAACTAGCTGAAGAGGTACTTTTATGATTTTTTTTTGTAATTGTTAGCTTTTAATGACCGAAATTTTTTTAAAAGAAAAAGGTAGTAGTTATTTGATAAAAGTTGATTCTTTGATTTAGTTAAATGTGAAGATAAACAAGGAGGCATATATAACGATTGCTGAAATTTTGTTGAAGACAAACATCCCGTGCAACTAATTTTGCTACAAATTAATTCCTTCTTCTTTGCACAAATTTCAACCACACAATTTTATTTTATTAATTCTCGTCATGCATAATCATACTTTGACAAAATTTTAAGGGACAGACGGGACAGTTTTTTGTAAACAAATTGGATTTAAAATGATAAGGTTAAAACAATTGCAAAATTAAAAATAATTGTCATGTCACATGACAGACAAATATGATGGGGTGATGTTCACCCTCTTTTACTCCGTTTTCCCCGATCTCTCAAACATACCCTAAAAATCTTAATTCTCTATTGGGAGCTTTTGATTTAGGGAGGGATTGTGATGAACCGACGATATAGGATTTCAGAAGCCCCAAAAATTATACGGAGTAGTCCCGAGAGTAACTGTGAATAATTGAAATTATACGGAGTAGTCCCGAGAGTAACTGTGAATAATTGAAATTATTGGGGATGATGGGAAGGAGGAGCTTTCGAAGTGAAGAAGAGGTGGAGGATGAATCACTTCGCAACGTGCCGCCTGGAGTATAATAAATTTATTGAACAGATCAATTTACAGATGGTTCTATGGTCTAGCGGTTAGGACATTGGACTCTGAATCCAGTAACCCGAGTTCAATTCTCGGTAGAACCTTAATTTTTTGCTTCAGCCGTTTTTATATCTTTTTTATACTATCTATGAAAAAATCATTATAACGATCACTAACAACTCATATAATTACACTGTTTGACGAATACTCTTTTCACTAGTGTGCACTCAACTGCTCAACACATTTATTGTAGTCCGTATTTAATAATTTGCTCTTATTTTTTGGCAATTAAGTAACAAGTATTCTTCACAATGTATATTTTGGCAAAACAGTATAATTTTTTTGCTACTCCTTAATTTTTTGCTTCAGCCGTTTTTATATCTTTTTTATACTATCTATGAAAAAATCATTATAACGATCACTAACAACTCATATAATTACACTGTTTGACGAATACTCTTTTCACTAGTGTGCACTCAACTGCTCAACACATTTATTGTAGTCCGTATTTAATAATTTGCTCTTATTTTTTGGCAATTAAGTAACAAGTATTCTTCACAATGTATATTTTGGCAAAACAGTATAATTTTTTTGCTACTCCTTAAATTTCTTCGATATAGTGACAGTTTCTATTTCGTAAGATTATCATAACAATGGTATAGAGTAACACTAATAAGTCGAGTGATAAAAAAACTGAAATTGATAGAGTAGGTAGGAAACAGTAAACTTCAAAAGGTAAAAGGTTTGTAAGATAATAATGCTCAATATACTATCGTAATTGCTTTCTATATCCATTTTGAAAGCTCAGTTTTAGCCTTTTAGGTACTTCATAATTAAATTAAAGGTGCTAATATATGCGTATTAATTTGCATAAACCAATAGAAAGGAGACATTAACAACTCATATAATTATACTGTTTAACGAATACTCTTTTATCATAAGTGTGCACTCAACATATTTTATGGTATTATTCTAGGAAAAACATATTTTATGGTATTGAGTCATACTAGGTTTTTTTTAATTCCAGAATATAAGGGTGGGGAGTGGTTTTATAGGTGTAGTAGTTGTCCAGCACTAAGAAATTCTTGATCCTGTAACATCCGTTCTCCACTAGTCTAGACTTGTAAAGGGACATAAACGGCCTCTTAATCACTGCATGTATTTTGTCGTCCTGCATTGCCATGAAATTAATACTCCGTACTTGTTAACCTAACATGTAACGAAAAAGACTTAAACTTCAAGTAAATGAAAAACCGAAAGATAAACTACCTCTTCATAATGAAAAATGACCTCCATTCATTGACCACCTTTTGGAGGAATTGGAGCCCATGTTGAGTTGTTGACCTGGTGTGGTCAACCTCCCTTATCATAGAGTACATTCATGTGTTATTTGCTTGAGTATTTTTTGTGTGTTTTGCCATCGTGAGATATGGATTCGAAGTGAGGATGACACCCGAATTATAGGGAATTCGAAATTGTATGTGTCTTGCAATGATGATGAAATACCCAGTATGTAATAAGCTTAAACCCTCAATCACCTCACTAATGTTCAACCATCTCAATAAATGCTCAATCACCCACGTTCAATGCGTTTGACCACAAAGGCTCATATCAATAAGTTCAAAATTGAACTTGGTTGACCGGAATACGTTTTCATTCAATGGGAAAATCTGATAGCCTAAGTTACATCGGAATAAACAAAATTTTAAATAAAAACAAAATATTCAACATATGTGGATCCAAACTTGGCAGAATCAAATCCTAAATATTTTTTGACCTGGTGAAATGGGCAAGAAAAGTGGCAGCCATTCCACTTATATAGTAGGATTTTTTATAATTGGGAAATGGGCAAAAAAAATAAAGTATTGCAAAAAAAATCACATTTCTTACTTTGCAATATATAATATAAAAATGCCCTAAACAGAACTAAAACAAATCTGATTGGATGTTTTTTAAAAAGTGTGTATATATATGTGTATGCATTGTCTTAATATACAAGAACTTTTTTTTTACCCCCCACTCCCCAGAGGGCATCAGGGGAGGGGAGTTTGGGGGACCTGGGGTAAACTAGTATCAATCTCACTCCATTGAGAATTGAACCCAAGAATTCCCATAAGGGCTGGACCGCTTCCTCCTTAAGATACAAGAACTGTATACAAATAAAATAATGTCTGATAACTAGAAAATCTAGTTTTATATTATTAGATTCTCTTGAATTTTCTCAACACCATTTTTCATTTACTCAACATGTTTCATATTATGAGATCTTGGAAATTAGATTCAAGTTCAAGTAGAAACTATGTAGTTGTTTAATTGACTAAATCTGAAGCCTTTTCACACTCACTCTTATGTAGGCATGGACCGATTCTGGGCCAGTCCAAATTGGGCTTTTATTTTTTGGGGACGGGCCAATGGGCCCAAAACCAGTCCGGTTTGCAAATTGCAACCAGGCCCGGGCCGGTTCATTTTTTTTTTTTTTTTGCTTTTCTAATTACCCCCCCCCCCCCCCGACCCCCACCCCCAAAACACCTAGCCCAACCCGGGAAAAACAAAATAATTGAAAAAAACAAAAAACAAAAATTAAATAGGCCCGAACCGGGCCCGGCCGGTTCCCAAGGAAGGGTAGGCCCAGAACCGGACCGCTCTAACACACCGGGCTGGTCCGGGCCCACACAGTGGTAGGTCGGGCCGGTTCCCGGGCTGGGCTGACCGGAACTAGTCCATGCCTACAGCCTACTCTTATGAGTTGTGTTTTTTGCGCTGTCTTTTGAAAAGACAACTTTACCATATTTCAAAGGTTGTTGTATACTGTATATAATATATGTAACACTGCATCAGCCAAAGAAAAATATGTAACTTACATCTTTCTGTTATTGTATTCGACAAAAATGAAATCGAACAAAATTTTCAAGTTGAATATGGGAAACACACAAGCATCCATATTTTGAAATACACCTAAACTCGTATCCAAAATATAATGATTATAGAAGAACATGATACACTTGTTGAGGTAGAACCACTGGCACAAATCAAGTGATGCACTTGGTGATCAAGCAGCCTTTCAAGGTTGAAAGTGAAACCTGGCAACCATAGAAACAATTAAACAAAGCAAGTTGAAGAAAATGGATCATCAAGCCATTTCTAGCACAAACAAAAATAATACTATCGTATTTAATAAATAGATCATTACATGAACTTATCAAACAGACAACATTTGATCAAAGGAACTCTTCTGGATTGAATTCATGTTGCATACAACACTCCAATGCATCAAGTTTAGGTTTTGCGGCGAGCTGAATATGGCTTCTGCTTAGTTGGCAGATACACAAATCTGTCGAGATCCATTTCCCTGGGTGAACTTTAGAAAAAGACGTAAGTTAGATTTTCTACTATATAAAGAGAGTAAATGCATCTCCAATCATCCAATGAAGACAAAAACAGAAAAACAAAGAACAAGGTTGAGAATATACCTGCTTTTGCTTACATTCCTGATGTCTTTCAGTGGGGCACGAAGACCGCTGGCACGGGAACCATTTGAGGTGAACTTAAATGAAGAGATTACTGAAACAAATTTCTCCACTGATTTTTCAGATATTTCACCGTATTTTCCCAAATGAGATACATCAGAACCAAACTTCATATTATCAGCTTTGACTTCCCCAGTAGAATCATAATTGTCAAATGCAGGATCAACTGGAAAATACATGTGTTACAAACATATATAATACCAAAGAGACCCTTACCAAATGTTCTCTCTAAATAGAGCACTTTTTTTTAAAGCCTCTAAATAGAGCACTTCTACTAGTATAGAATGACTTGTGCTACTACATAGCAATTTACTCGAAAAAATCAAGGGCAGTTAATGACGGGATAATTACAAAAACTCATAGTGTTATATGAGTCTCATTGAGTCATATAGGCTAATTCATCATTTCAGGCAAACTGCCAGTCCACCACTCATTTCATAAAGGATAATAGTGGGTGACCCCACTAAGAAAACGGATGGTGATGGTGTCACCAAATAAGCCTATATCACTCTATATAGATGGCTCATTGGTATTGGGAAGACAATTTTATATTTTGACTAGAAATTCCAAAACAGAAATTATTTTGCAAAATTTTAAAGCTCCCAAAATGATGCTTATTATCAAAAGGAGAGTATAACAAGCCTCAGTTCGAGAATTTGGCGTACATTTATTGTTTGAAGAAGAATCACCAAAGGTATTACGACTAGCTTTTAGTCCTTTTACAGTATCCTGCAGTAAAGAAATGAAATATTAGGATACCAGCACACTTAGAGCAAAATTTGAATAATGGTTTAGCAAAGGGAGCTTACGTTTTCATTAGCATTGTTGAATGCAACCTTTCGTTTCCTTAAATTCCCTTCACTATGGTGTAAGCAATTCTCAGAGGTTTCATCAACCTCAGCAGCAATGGCATCTTCTATGCTATTTCCGTTAGATGAAACCTGTTGCTGAAAATATGAGCTTCTCACAACTTTCCTTTTTTCTGATTTCATTTTACTATTATCTGCAGAAAGATAAAAACATGTATTAATGAGAGAAAACATAAATATGACTAAAACATAATACATTTCTTGAAATAGAAGTATAGGACCATGGGTTATTCGTGAAAATAGAACTCATTGACTCTTAAAATAAGAATTATAAACTATTATTCCATTTTAGGACTGAATGAGTCATATTTGTAGCACAAACAAGGATACTTCTATTTGTGCACTTGATTCGCATTTTACTCATACTATGCACTAATTTCTGTATATTAATTTATACTGGTAGCATTACTATGCCAATCACTATATAGCACTAACTTTTTTCCTCAGCGGAAGTATGCTGAAACTCGAAACTCCTCAATGTGGTTATTGGATCAACTGTTTTCATCTTCCCTTCAATGGCCACTGAAGCAGAAGGGCATTCTTCAGCAAAATTAGGCTTACAATGATCTTTTGGAGAAGAATCGCCGAAGGTATTACAACTAGCTTTTAGTTCTTTTTCAGTGTCCTGCAGTAAAAAAATAAAAAATAAGAAACCAGCAGACTTGAAGCAGAATTTCAATATTACTTTGTCAAAGGGAGCTTATGTATTCAATAGCATTGTTGAATGTAACCTTTTGTTTAGTTAAAGTTCCTTCATTATAGCGTAAGGAACTCTCAGGCTTCACAGTTTCATCAACCTCAGCAGCAATGGCATCTTCTAAGCTATTTCTGCTTCTCACAATTTTCTTTTTTTCTGATTTCATTTTACTATTATCTGCACACAGATAAAAATATATATTCATGAGATACCATATATACGACTAAAATATACTAGTAATACATTTCTTGAAATAGGACAATTTTTTTCCAGAGAAAATAGAACTCATTGACCCTTCAAAGAAGAATTATAAACTATTTTTCCATTTTAGGACTGAATGAGTCATATTTTTAGCACAAAACAAGGATACTCCTATTTGTACACTTGCCTCATGCTTTACTCATATTATGCAGTAATTTCTTTATATTAATCTATAGTGGTAACATTACTATGTCAATCACTATCTATTATGGTAAAATATATTATCACACTGACATTTTTCCTCTGTGGAATCACACTGAAATTCAAAACTCTTCAATGTGGTTATTGGGTTAACTGTTTTCGTCTTCGCGTCAATGGCCACTGAAGCAGAAGGGCATTCTTCAGCAGAAATAGTGCTCTTGCATATATCATTGGCGGACTCATCACTGATATTTTCCTTCTCAGTCTTCTTAGGCAAAAAATAGGAACTTCTTACAACTACTTTCCCATTCTCAGTTATTATTGTCTTGCTTTTCGAGCGGCTTGAAGCCCTATCCTTATGCAACAGAACACAGGGTTTGCAGATTGAATGTCGAAATGGAGTTTGATTATGCATTCCTTGATCATCTGAGACCAACTCCTCACGAATTCCTACATGAAAAAACATGGAAAGAGAGTGTTCAGGCAATGTTGGAACTGTTATTACATTTACCTTCCAAAAGGTTTGGTGAACTTACCAAATACTCCTTGAGGAGTTGAGGTTTATGAAAATTATAAATATGACCCTTGATCCGTCATATTTTCGCAAGCAACCTTTTTTAGCTCTGAAAATAATAGAATTTGATGACTTTAAAAAGTCGAGCACCACCACATTGAGATTGGTGTTTTAAATGCATTTCATCGGCTAGGTAATTTAACAGCTTTATCTCAAAAATAATCTGAGACAATAGCTGAGAGTAATCTAGTATGTAAAAACTCGACTTCTACCATCGTGCATTGTCCTCTGTAGAAAAAACTGACCGGTCAGGTGTTTTTTCGCAATTTCATAAACCTCATGGACCCCTTGGTAATTTGACCGAACCTCGTAGGAATTAGATGTAATTAACCCTAACTGTAATTCCATAGTTTTAAAGTTTACATGGCCCAAAAAAAATAGTTTGCTGACTTTGCTCTTTCCACCCTTACCATTACTAGTTGACTCCAAATGACAATCCCCTGTTGCACTGGCAATATCATCCACCTAAATGAGGGGAAAATATCAGAGAACTGCTTATGGGAATTAAACAGCTGAGGTGTAATTGCTATACTCCCTCCGCCTTATAAAAGTTGGCCGAAGTAGATTTGCTCGTGGAATAATAAATTGAAAAAAAATGTCTTTTTTTGAGTTTTTGCGGAGAAGAGAGAAATAACATTAACCACAATTTTGTTGCTTTATAAAGAAATGGCAAAGTTTTTTGGGAAGGCTAAATAAGGAAAGTTGGCCAAGTTTGTGGGGCGGAGGGAGGGCGTATCCGCGTATATAATAGACGACTGATATATTCACATTGTTTTCGTCTTCACGAACAGGTGGGGACACTGATGAGCTCCCTAATTCACAAGAATCATCTTCAGTGAAAGAATCCAGCAATGCACTAGGTGATCCATCCTCTGGATTCGGATGGATAGGTACAACCCATGGAGCTCTGAATTCTTGTTTAGCTTCAATCGAAGCAATACCTTAAGATGCTAAGGATAATTCGTCAACTTTTAATATGGAAGGTATGTGTAAGGTTACATTTTAAGTAGAAAACTTGCAGCAAGTTTACAATTATCTAAACATAATAAACTAGGTTTCAGCATCAATATAATAAGTTTACAATATATCTAATATAGCAAGTTTACCATCTAAACCAAAACCAAAACCAAAACAAAAACCAAAACTAGTTTCAGATTCAAAGAGAAGTAACAAATAGAGTGCCAAGTAATGAACAAAAGGATACAAAAATACTTGGTTAGGAGATTCTTTTGTGCAGGCAAATCAGGCTTATTCCTTTGAACTTCAGGCTTGAAAATCTTCTGTTGATTAGATTGTGTATAATTCCAGGTAGTGCCATCAATATCTTTCTGTTGATTTCAAATTCTATACATTACAAAAATAATTATGGAGAAAAAGAAATACATATTGAACAAATATAAGGTGTTTAGAAGCATGTCAAAAAACAATTATAAACCTCTATTCCACATAAGAACTTTATCATTTTAAATTTCCCTTTACATAAAATCAGGATCAATATAATACCTGAAACGGCATTTTAGTTAGGGGATCAAGCTCACCCCTTGCTATGCCTTTAGCTACTTCTGGGGTAAGCACTGTATTGTCGATTAAGGTTACAATACAAATAGACTCAAATAAAATATAGATTGCACTTTTCACATAACTAATAAAATGGAAAGATGGGTGATTATGCAAGGATATGGGCCTAGGAACTCAAGATCTTCATCACCACCGGCAGGAACCTCAGACAAGTGAACTAATTCTTCAGAAACAGGATCATAAACCCTTTGATGCAGGAAAGTCATGATTGCTTTCTTGAAAGATTTTTCATAAAAAGGAGGTACTGCAACAGTACTATACCTCAAGTGTTTAATTACCTGTATGAACGATAAGATTCAGTCTGCATATGCAATGGGATTCAGGAAATTTTGAAAGGTCATATAGTAGAATGTGGCATAATAATTAATAAATCTTTTTACAGCAGTTCTTTTTTTCTCACCTTGTCATAACTTCTGAACTTTTTCATCAATGCATGAGCTTTTTTTAGACCCATCCCAGGCAAAGACTGTAAATAGTCACAACCACTCAATATGCACATCTCAAGAACCATCTGCTTTGTGAAACCCGTAAAGTTTAACTCCTTGTTCTGTTGCAGCATGGAAAACTGGAATTCAACTCCTTGCCCATACTTGTCCATTTTGTATATGATCTGTATACCCAAATTTATTATGAACCATGATAGAAAGGTGTTGCGCAAAAAAAAATGCTGTTATAACTAGATAGCTTACTCTAGGACAACCAAAGGCAATCAAATCTGAGTCCTCTGTTATAACTGCATCGACCTGTTTGGTGACAGCCAGTAATGTCATTTCGGCATCTGCCTCATATGGTGCCACAACATACTGCACACATTCCTGTTTTAACACCTTGCATAGACAAATATATAAAAATGTTAGTAGCTTAGCCAACAGAACATCTAGCATCACTAAAATTAATCACTACCTGTATCAGGTCATAAGCCACTGAAGGTGATATGTCAACAGCCTTTTGGTAACACTCATAAGCAGCAGTCTGATTTCCATTAGACTCATGCTCAATAGCCCGAGACAGGCTTTCCTTCCTTACCCTGTTCTCAAAAGTAGTACATAAGTCATCAAGTAGTCTCTCATTTGACTACCATGCAGAAAACTCTTGATTTCTTCGATAATGATTATTAAGAACTTAACTTTAACTATAAACCCTTTTAACCATGGAATCAACAATCATAAGGGTCATTGTAGACAATATGGAGGCAATCCCCATAAATAACAGGATAAATCATACAGAGTAATTACCTCTTTAAGTCTCAAATGTTTAAACGACTCTCCCATAACCAATATGAAGCAAACTAGGTCAGGATGAAAATAGGGTTGTCATGCATCCAGTAAGCTAAGAAATTATTGTAACACGATTACACAATCAACAAAAGAACCTGGGATTGCCGTGCTTTCAAAAGGAGAAGAAGAGAAAATTGTATCTTTTTCTTTCATTACTATATGGTGCGTGACACCAAGATAGAAATATAGCTATACTTTACCATGATAAAGTAGACCTCATACAAATTTAAAAGTAGCATGCATCACCTTTATGCATCCATATGTAGAAAGTGGCACATCACGTCTATGAGGTTTGCACCAGATGGAGGGCATTTTGAGAAATTAAACTGTAGTGGTTGAAAGAAACTAAAAGATATATAAATTATGTGAGGAAACTATCCCACTTTTTATTCCAACCCTCATTTTTAGCTTTCAGGCCCACTGGTACAGATTTGTTGTCCTTATAGTCCTTCAGACAACTTATCCATTCTACTTTCAAACAATTTCCATTTTTCCCAGGTCAGTGGGTAGAAAGTACCAAAAGTGGCAAAAGATCATAGGCATGCACAAAAAGTGGAGAAAAAGAAAGCTATCTATGGATATTGATGAGGATCACAAACTAGTTACACACCAAAAATGAAATTTTTGCTAGTATAAGTACCTTGCACGTTTAGACTCTTGGTCACCCTTCATTGGCAAAAAACCTCCATCAAACACCAGAATAGGCTTAACACCATAATGACGTAGCAAGTTTACTCTATGCATGCAATAGTTAATGTGCCTAGCAAACATTGAAAGTCCACAGTAAGATGACTATTTGATAAAGATATTACCAGTTCATTTTTTAACTTCCTAGTAAGGATAAAAACACTCTTGAACTAGCAACTATCAGACTGTCAAAGAGAACAAAAGAACAAAACGTATAACTGGTATAAGGTATCAGATCTAAGTGAATTTGACTTCATGTGCATTGGAAAATGAGAAAGTTCCGAATTTGCCTTCAACTATACAAAAAATTTAACAGGTTTCTTTTTTCAGTTCTTCCGGGGGAGATCATCCAGCCAGTCAGCCACATAGTTTACAGCCAAGACAACTATAAAAGAATAAGTATGTTTATACGCGCAGAGGCGCCTGATGGGTTTAGAGTATGTTTTGCGGGTGTGTATGGTCATTCGCATTTGTTCAGAAATCGCAATTAAAAATGACAGCAAAATGAGAAAAGGTAGAAGATAACCCAGCACTGCATCTAGCTATTTGAGTACCCAATTACATACTTCTCCGAAAAACATGAATAGATAAATCTCCACAGTGGCATTGCCTTAAACTAAAAAATTATATGGGCTGATAAATCAAGAACCCAAAAAGGAAAATGGGAAAAAGAGAGCGATATGTACTTAGAAGTGGGAATGCCTTTACAGAGCTCTCTGCTGCAAGAGAGAGCGCCCTTGTGGAGCCAAGAGTATGTGTCCACGGCAACACAGCAACCCTCTAAGTCCTTGGCGTGAACGGGCAACATTATAGATTTCAACAATGGCAGTAGTCCCTGGATACCCATTTTTGACGACCCGCCGGAGATGGAACTTACTGGGTCTGAGTTCAAATCATTGAAATTGAGTTTCAGCTGAAATGGTGTGGTGCCCTAATTTTCTCAAGCGTATCGGGTGGTTATGGGGATTAGAGAGAGGGCAGAAAGGGGGGAATTCAGGCGGGAAAGTTACTGTGGAAAACGGGGGAAGAAAAATGCTTTGAATTCTTATGGGGAACACGAATCGAGCATACGTTTTTAGAGTCAAAAAAAAAACTTGAACAGAAAAGTATGAAGTAATTTATAAAGAAATAACCACGCTCTGGAGTATTTTTTGGGGTTAAGTGAAAAATAAAACGAACATTTCGATGCTTACTACCATTGAATCAGAAAATTCAAGAAAATGGTCTAAGAGGAGAAATTAATATAAATTCCAAACATTAGATTTGATAATTGAATATTATGTCAAACAAAATTATGTAACATCATTAGTAAAAAATTTGTGATACTTCGGTAAATAACTTCAAATTTTTCGACATATGAGAACCGTCAACTGCCCAACGTTTTAGCTCATTCTCATTTCTCATTTGTAGAGGTGTTCTCACTTAAACTAAATCCTTTAATCGTAAACTACATCAATTTAAGTTAGAAACACCAGAATATTTTTAGTTACTTGAAAGAAAAAGTTATAAGGTACTTTGGAAACTATTGCAACCACTCTTTTAATGTATTATATACAATGTGATTTTATTGCACTTCTAAATAAAAATTACATATTAAAAGATGGGTTTTCAAAAATATTACTAAAATAAAACGTACTCTATATGTATTCATTTAAATATGACTGAAGCTATTAAAAGTATAATGTTATACTCCGTAGTTACTTAAATGTAAAAGTTGAACATAAAATAATCACTAAATTTATGGGTATAATCACTATTATAATAGTAACATGTTGGGCAAGACTATTATAAATAATACACATTGTTTTAATTGCGTAAGGCTATTATAAATAACTTATGAACATTATTATACCAATGATACATCATCATCACCCGTAGCTTCATGTTGCGTTTTACCATATGTGCGTGACTTGAGTTTTATAAGTAGTTGTGCACTTGTGCACAATGGCGTATCCAGAAAATTTGGCGAGTGGGGGCAAATTTGACTACAATTTAGTCTCATATTTCACAAATAACAAATCACATTATTAATATTGTTTGATTAAATTTAGTTTATAATATCTATGTACAAGTATGAATAAAAAGAATATTAATTTATATTACAGGTGTGTAAAGATGTAATTGCAGATAAAATGTAATAAATTTACCTAAATATAAGTTAAACAGTCTTAAACATAACAAAATTTAGTGAATTTTTTAGCCTTTCATTCTTTTAATATTAAAGAAAACACTTCTAATCCTATTTTAGAATTTTTTTCTACATTTAACTCTTAATTTGAGCAATTTCTTGTAAAAATTTGGATATATATATAGAGGTTGGGTTGTGCTTGAGTGGGGGCCCCGCTACCCCCATAGTGGATACGCCACTGGTTGTGCATGTTGTGGCTTAAATTAAATACTTTTATTATGATTGTTATTGTTGTTGTAGTGGCCATTGTCACAAGTATTTGCCTATTTGGTATATAAATTTTAACTATGTATTTAACAATTAATATTTTAATTGATTGACGGTTGAGATTTGTAAAAATTGTGTGACTAAGATTAATTTATGCAAAAGTAAGTTTTCTGGGGCATTAAAAAAAGAGATTTGATCAAGACTTGTGAGACAAAAGGATTAATATTTGTGAAAACTATGTTGTGTAATATTTCGATATTGTCACATAGTAGTAGTATACTACTCTATTCATGGGTAGTTATTTACATAATGAGCAAGCTCAGTACATGACATTCATATTCCATCAATCCTCTTCTTCATACATGCTCCAACAAATCAGACCAAGTCACCAAGTTAACCTAGCCTATCACCAAGTTAACGTGGCCATTGCAAAAAGCAGTTGTCTTCTCCACACACCCTCCCTTACAAAAAGAGAAAATGCCAACTCCGAAGTCTGAATCGTTTGTGTTTGAAAGCCCATATCCATCAATACTCTCAAAATACACACTACTCATTATATATTGTCATGGCTTAAACCAAATACTTTTAATGTTGTTGCGGTGGCTATCAATCTATCATCACAATTAACCGGCACATACTCCGTACTATATACCCATCTGTCCCGGAAAGGTTAGCCAAAGTTGACTTTCACGTGCAGAGGAGAGAGAATTAATTTTAACCACATATTCTTTACATGGAAATGACCAATCTTTTGGGACATCCAAAAATGAAAATTTGGCCAACCTTTTCAGGACTCAGGATGGATGGAGTAACATTTACGAAAGCCTCGTCTAATATTCAGTTACCGTCACATATTATAATACTACGTAATATATAAAAGGATGACATTCTATCCTTGGGGACCTTGATAATTGGTAGGACAACTATCAAACACGTAAGAGCAAGCCCGGGAATGCATTACGCATCCATATTCCGATCCATCATTCCTACTCTTCACACATGCTTCGTGGTAAATTCACCTAGCCAACCAACTTTAGTACTTGTACACTATATCTCAAAGACTCCAAGGTCTCCAACTAATGGCTAATGCAAAAAGGAGTTGTCTTTTCCAAGATCCTCTCCCTTACAATAAGAGGAAATGCCAACTCCAAAATCTAAATCCTCCCAACAGAGCCCATATCCACCACTACACGTCGTCTACACTCACTCTACACATTCAACGCAAAAAGCCCGAAATTAAAAGTTTAAAACATTCACATGTTAAAAGAAAACATTCACCATTGGAGGCAAATCGCAATCACATGTGTACATTAAAGATAAGAAGAATGAATTTCACCTGGCTTCAAATCCACTATAAGTCTACAAAGAAAAATAAAAATTAGAGCACAAAGTTAAAACTTCAGTAATGCGAGTGGCATTAATTTTCTAAATAGAGATCCAAGAGTATGAACGGTTCAAAATACTATCAAACATCTTTTTGGGACACATCCATTTATTCATTAGTCAAACCTACCAATTAAACCACTATTAACACCCCCTCACGAATCTGATCTAATGAATGTCAAACACGTCCTATATAACGTAGGACAAAATAGAAGAAAAATATTTTGCTTAGATCATCGTTATCATCACTACCCCGGCTACCCGAGTGCCGCAAAGAGAGATGGAGCCAAGTGTTGTTTATGGTGTCAAATGACACCACTCAAAATGTATTTTTATTGTATATATGTATATATGGAATGAAAATGTTAAAACGGCACCACTAATTTTTTTATAAACAGGGTCAATATATATATAATATATTCTCCCTATCTCAAAAATTTTCATGTACAATTTAAAGAATGGTGTTGATGATATTTAATTAGAAAGTGAAACAATAATATAGTACTCCTAATTTTGAATTTACATTATTTATACTCTTATAGCCTATTGAATAACACTGAAATTGACTGAATCAACTAGTTCTATTGAAATTTATATAGTTTGAGTCAACAGGCTAGATTCAGGGGCGGCCTTAGGATAATTGAGGCCCTAGGCGCTTAATACTCACATACTGTGGCGTATTATATTAATAATGTGATTTATATAAAAAAAATTACTTGGAATGTTTTCAGTTTCAAACCAGACCAGATTTGGATATTTATAAAATACACATAGACCATATATTATAAGAACAACCAGATCAGACTATAAAATTCAAGTCCAAGTATAGAAGTAAAATGAATATAGATGCCCGTATGAGAAACAAAGCTTCACATGGTTTCTCAACTTATTTTTTCTCTTTGACATTCCAAAATAAATTTTCGTCTATTTGTCATGACAATATCTACATATTTAACATATTTAAAAATAATAAATAAAAAAAATCATCAACAAAAAAATTAAAATCAACAATTACTTAAATAAAATCTACAATTATAAAATAAACTATTAGTGACAAAATAACTAATGGAATAATCACGATTATAAATTACTAATGTAAAGAGTAATAATAATAACATTATCACAAATTACAATTCAATCAATTCTAAAACCCGTAGTGTATATAATAATGATTATTTATTAATGAGTGACCCCCAAACCTAAACTACAAAATCCGAAGTTTCCAATTGATGGCCGCCAATTGCAGAAGCTAAGGAAGAAAAGAAGGGTCTGGAGATATTATGTAAAGCCTAATACGAACTAAATAATGCTACCGCTTGGGGCAAGAAGGCTACGATAGAACTTGGATTTCTGAATTGCGAATTAGACGGCCACAGAAAGAAATAAAGCTGAGAAAAAGATTCAATAGAATTTGGTATTGCAAGGATTCACAAATGGAATCTGGGAAGCGTAGTTTGGGGTTCGAGGGCCTTCCGTCCTTGGGGTTTTTGGGCGTAGGCTGCCTACTGCTAAGAGGAGCAAATATCAATTGATTTTCATACTATTAGTACGTATTACAATAAATTGAGGCCCTACTAAATGGAGAGGCCCTAGGCAAAAGCCTACCTCAACTGGCCTCATGGCCGGCTCTGGCTAGATTAGTTGTTTCTGCTAAATTGTGAAATAATTATATTCAAAATATATTTTATTATTAAAATAAAGAAAAAATTATATGAGAAATAACTAATTGACTGGGACGGGTCAGTCTGACCCGGGACCCAACCCAGACCAGTACTGTGCCATCCCGACCCGGCCCAGTATATAATATATTCTCCCTATTGTTAATGGGGCAGTACCAGGGGTCCAAGCCAGTTGTTAATGGGGCAGGCTACACTGCTACAGGCTGGGATTTTAGTGGATCAGCCCGGGCCAATTTTTTTTTTGGGCATTAGGCTGCTGCTAGGTTGGTTGGGTGTTTTGGCGGGGGGAAATTCTATTTACACACCTTCAATTACTAAACACACACCCATTCCCGTAAAAAGTTAAATACTTTTTCTTATAATTCCAGTTGTACCCTTCAATTGGTCTAGGCCCTTCTGCCGTTCTACGCATGAAATTAAATTGGGGCAGAGTGAACGGTTCTCCTTCCCATGAAATTGTTGTAGCCAGGATTCTCCAATCAACAAGATCGGTGGCACAGAAGTTGTGGATCAGTGGACCACTCATTTGGGAGGGTAAACAATTTGCTCCTTCCCAAGTTCATAAGCATTACGGCTCTGCACCTTCATTACTTCCGCCGGCGTCACCGCTCACCTCCACACTAACCGGCGGATCCACTACCAACCTCTCTATCCATTGAATATTGTGACGACCCAGCACCGCTGCCCGCCCCCATACCTTTTAGTAGTATCTCACAGCTTCCCTCTGCTTCTCCCCGACGACAACCTTAACTTCAAGTTCAGCCCACATACTCCTTTTCTTCGCAGGCACCCCAAACATCTCTTTAGATCATATTATTTCGCGATAAAGCGGCGTAGTCGCGTAGAGCTCCGGCAACACCCACGAGGTGAAGAATGGGGAAAGTCAGTCATTCTTTCTTCCCCGGGAATGATAGATCTTTTCTTTCCCTGTTGGCTCGAAGTAATACATGGATGCTACGGAGTAATGGGTTGGCGTAAGGATAAAATGGATGATTGAAATAATTTTATTTATTTAAATTTAATTAGGTGCTTGTGATTAGTAAATTGGTTGTTGTAAATAGAATTACCCTTTGGCGGGGCTTGAAGGGTGGGGTGGAGTAGGAATGGATTCGAAAAGGATATAAAAAATTGACCCGGCCCAGGCCTGGCCCGGCCCTGGTCCAAACCCGGGCCGGTACCTGGCCTTCAGCCCAAAACCCCAGTCCCACCCAATCCTGGCCTGGTCCATGCCTATCCATGCCCAGTCGCAAAGGCTCCCACTTATGGTTGAGTAAGAGGGGATCGCCTGTACACCGTCTTACCCCTTACTAAAGCACAGAGACTAATGTGCAGAAGGACTACTTTGCTTGGACAGTTGGACCTAAGAAAATAATACCATATATACATGAACTAAAAGTATATTTAAGTTTTACGATAATAACTACTACATAAAGCATGGCAGTCCGTTCCAATATCCACTCGAAGATAGGGTGTGTTTGGGTAATAGCGGTTTATCCCAATCCGCCGAATGAGGTGAACTACAAAGCGCTGCAAAATGCAGCGTGTAGCACTCTACCCGCTGAGAAACAAACGGAGCCATAGTGTCCGTTTTCCAATTTCTGATTCAACCAAGACGATCATAATGCTTTTCACAGAAAATTCTAAAGAACTTGTTTCCGAGATGGTATCCATCCATCACCCACAATTTGGTGGTCAAGACCAAAAGGGGTTGACTACATGAGAGAGAACAAAAAGAAGTGCAATAACACTGCAAAGAGAAATTGTCCTAAATAAGGTAAAAACGTTTTGAAATTCCAAAACAGGAGTACCATGTTTTCTATTCCTTGGATAGGAGTAATTTGCCAAGTTTGGAAAAAAATAGCATGTTTAAAGCCTTGTAATGCCCAAACTTGACAGAAATTTAATGCTATTTAGGGAATAAAAAACATGATACTCCTTTTTTGGAATTTCAAAACGTTTTTACTCGAAATTCTCTCCACTGCAAAAAGGCAGGTCCAAGTTATATTAACCACCGAACAACTAGCTAACATAAGAATTGATAATACTGGGAACATTTTGTATGGATAATATCCAGCATTCAATTGATTTCGAAGTCAAGACTTATGCTGTGTAACGATTCTTGGCATTCCTGTCAAGTTTCTTCGCATCATCCTACAAAACAACATGTTTCACTGTTACTTGACCCATATTCAACAATGAGCTCTACACCCCCCCCCCCCCCCCCCCTACTAGATGCTTACATGAAATATGAAACCAATTGTGTCTTTGTAATCCAGAAACTCCTTCCATTGCTTCCCAATACTAGTCTACACGAATGAAAAGATAACAGCGATGAATTATAATTGCAGTTCATTTATATGTAGATTATCAGTTAGGAAATATGCACAAAACCCCAAGTATTCTGGTCCAGACTGAAAATTTGCTTCTGGAACCTAATATATTCAAAGGGCTATCATAACCATCAACACCTTAACTTCCACTACTTAATATATTTGATCAACATGATTATTTGTTATTTCATATTCCTGATTAAACCTTTTCACAAAGTGAATCATCCAAACTTACTCCTCAAACAGCCAGTGGTGAGAGAATTTTTTCCTGGATAAAATACCTGGGCTGATTCATTGGCAGCATTCTTGGTCCAGATAGAAATTTTGTCCTGCCTATTTCGGACATTCACAACAGCTCCACATATTTCATCGCCATGGTCAAATTGCTCCCCAATCATTGCCAACAACTAGTAAGACCAAATCCACCCAAAAATCAGAGCACAAAGAATCTCACAAAAACTCACCACAGATGTATCAAGTAAACTGTAAAAGAAAAGGAAGCTCATGTACCGTATACAACCAACTAGTATCAGATTTCCCCCTTCCATAGGTTACAGTCCACTTCCCTCCATTGGCACAAATAGGATCCTCCCACTTTGGTTCAATTTTATGCTTGAAACAATGGAAATCCGCTCCAATGCCCAACTTGCTCGGATGGTGTATGTTATTGTAAACACTGGAAGCAAGATATATAAAGAAAACCAGTTCTCAGATGGATATGGAGAACTTATGTTCTAACCCTATAAAGCATAAAAGACACCGAATAAAAGTTGATAGATCTGCAGTCTGCACTTCTTTGGCTTTATAATAAGGCAGACAAGGAAGGATCTGATCAAACAATATGCATACATATGTACTTGGATACTGAAAATTACGAGAAACCGAAAATCCCTAATTCAAAATCAATCGAAAAATACAATCTAAAGGCTACCTCCAGAAATCTTCAACCGTGGAGAAAGTATACACGGGACGGATAGAGCTTCCCCAGGCGGCCTGTTTGGATTTAGCAGAGGGGTTATCAAACCAGAAGGTCCACGAGTTCTCTAACGGGTGTTTTGTCGTCAATCCCTTGTCTGGATTGGGCATCTCATCTGACTCGCCCGCGATCTCTCCTTCCTCCAATCCGTCTGCTGCATCTCCTCCGTCGGTGGCTGACGATAATGAGGATTTCTCGGGTTCCTCCGGTTGAGTTGATTTCTCCATTTCTTCCACCATCTTGAGAACTAGAAGTTTTGGGGCGAAGAGTGTATCAGTGCGAAGGTACGCAGCGTTTATATAGGTCTCCCGTTCTCTATAAAATTGAAAGTATAAAAAAATTAAAAAACTAAATAAAACATTGAAGTATAAATTTAACTTACTTTTTCTTCAAAATATTTAGATTAGTGGTAAGAATTAAAATTTGAACAACATTGAAATTTACTAAGGTATAAAAAACATAACTCCAATGTGATGTAAGTAGATAAGTAGATATTAATGATATAAAGATTTTGACTGAAATGTGTGAAAGATTATGTGGTTATATCATTCTTTATTCTTTATACTAGATTTCTTGACACTACGGATTATAATTTGTATTGTATAGATGGGTGAGGCATGCCTCATATATGGTGGTTGAATTGATTATGGCTTCATTATTGTCATAGTAATAACTGATGCATGATAATTTTTGTGATGCCTCCCGGCTCCCATCCTAGTACAAACAGTGGGTAAGATTCATCTGAGTTATTCCAAGCAATGTGTATGAAGAGTAATGATCTGGTCAGGCGCGCCTCACCAGATAGTGCTGTGAGGACTTGCCCGTTTGGGTGCCTTCCCGGTCTAATTTTTTGATAAAATTTTTTTATCAGGTTTCTCATCAAGTCTAGTTTATCCATACCAAATGTCAGCTCAAAATTCGACCGGGAAGACAGTCAAATAAATTCTTGAAACATACTAGTCATTCTGTGCATATATAAAGACCAGTATGTTTCAAGAATTTATTTGACTGCCTTCCCGATCGAATTTTGAGCTGAAATTTGGTATGCATAAACTAGACTTGATGAGGAACCTGCTAAAAAAATTTCATCAAAAAATTCGACCGGGAAGACACCCAAACGGGAAAGTCCGCACAACACATCTGGTCAGGCGCGCCTGACCAGATCATTACTCTGTGTATGAATGTGTCTTGACTATAGATTTCTATCTACAATCTACAAACTTATAAATGCCAATGAAGGTTAGAATCCTTTTGGGAATGTAAATTTGTTGGTGTAACACTTGAGCATAATGAAGTTGCATCCTACTCCGTATGTTTTATTTGTAGTACCTTTTATTTATATGCCCTGAACCCGTCTCTCCGTTAAAATAAAAACATAAACGGCAGTTACCCCTCTAATGTTTGTTGTTCTTTTCAGTAAACATAGTAAGTACATGGTAATATTTGTGGCTGTCATCATTTACATATGTTTCTAAAGACTAAAGTGTTGCCTATTCCGTCTTTTTTCTCAGTCTGTTCATTTCTTATGAGTTTAAATTTAAGTTGGTACGTTTTGTGATCTACTTTTACTTTTCGTTTACGGTTTACACAAACAAACACGATATTTCGTGCTCACAATCTATGATTTACATGTTGTATAGAGTTGCAAATGGGGCTACAATAATTCTACGATTACCTCTGGCTTACACACGTTTGAGGGACTGTGTTCAAAGTGGTTTTGAAATTTTTAGCCCTTAAAGTGATTGCTAATTATGTCTAACTGTTTTGTATATTGTTGAGTTACTAATTGATTTCATAGTAAGCATTTTGGTAAAATGCTTCCCTTCACTTGAATTCGAATTTTGTGATATCTTTAGTGTTGTTTTTATTGCTAAATTAGATTTTTTGGACGTTTCATAGTCTTGTAGGCGTTGAACTTATACTCCCTAACTCCTAAGCTTCATGCCTTCAAACTTTGTCAACTTTGAACTTTTGGGTCAAACATGTTCAACTTTGACCAATTATATACAAAGTATTTTTTAGAAAGTTATTTATAATATAAAACTGAAATGATAATGATTTTTGTTAAAAACGTTTTCATAAAAGTATAATTATGACTTCAAAAATATTATACTCTGTACTACATACTAATCAAAATCATAGACTTGTGAATCTCATGATCCAAATTAAACCATCGTTGACTTGAAAAGTCAAAGATGACAAAATTTTAAAGGACAAACGTAATTTCTAATTAACTACATGCTCTTTTCTATCTTTCCTCTCTCTTTTTCGTTTATCGTTTTTCTTCTTTATCTTTTTATGTTCTTATGTTATTCTTATCTTCTAGCTTTTTATGCTCTTTTATCTTTTTATCTTGTATCTTTCTTATATTCTTATCTTATTGTTATCTTATATTTATTACGTAGTATCTTTTATCTTTATCTTATATTCTTATTCTCCATGTACGTCTTCTGTTTTTGGCATCGATATCATGGATTGATTTATGTTACCCGACCCAAAAATTTTTGGATTAAGGCTTGCATGTTGTTTTTATAGTGAGGCTAGCCGCGCTCTTTGGGAGAAAGAATTTCGGCTGAGATATGCTTATATCCCTCTAAAGGTGGGCCTAAAGAGGGCTTAATCATTAAATTCAGTCTCCTGATTTCAATGTTAAATTATTTTTTAATTTTTGAGAAACATTCAAGATGATGGGCGGGCTATATAGTGTTTGCTTTATTTAAAGTAAATAACACTACAAAATTACTACGGAGTACGTACTAATCGACACTTCGACAGGTTTGCAAAAATTCTTCAGTTTGATGAATCGACAAGATGAAATAACGATCTAGGTTCTTGATTCCAGAAATTATTTTTGGAAAAATCAAATCAAGAATAATATTTGTGATAAAATGATTGGGTGATTTTGTGGAGAGCTAGACATCAAACGTTAGGATTCACTTGGTTGTCCAGAAATTTTACATTGGACAAGCCATATTGGTTAATTTCTCTAATTTTCAAGGGAAAAAGATATCTATTACTACATCCGTCCCCCTAAGTTTGGGACAAAGGGACGTGTTGTTGTTTTTAAGAAAAAGTGGAATTATGTGGTTGGTATTGAATTGATAAAATGTAAATAAAGTAGGAATGAATTCTAACCAGTCAAATATTACCTAATATGGTTAGACAAACTTAATGAGACGGGCGAAACAGGTAAAACGAGACAATGTTAGGGGGACGGAGGGAGTATAACTTTAGATATGTTTGACAATGAATTTTGAGTGGTATATTACCGGTCAAATTTTTTTGCAATGTGCATCAAGGTTGTCATTTTGAAATATGATAGGCCTATGAGCCAAACATTCTTGTCTAGTTGTCCATAATGCTCTCATGCTCCCGTTTTAGATCTACCCCATGAAATAAAGGATTCTTTTAGTTTTTTATGGAGCCTGAAACCGGACCTACCTTTATCTAGATTCTGTTAAAAGAGCTCGCTAGATGATCTGAATTAGAAGAAGACATTGTTTACATTGACAAGATATATTGGTTAATTTCTCCTAATTTTCAACGGGAAAGTAGGACTTGCCATAGGTATGTTTTCCATTCCAAAACTGTCACTGGTAATATAGCACTAAAAATGAATAGTTATATTGGTTTATTTAAAGTTATTACACAATTCAAAACACTTTTACTTTAGATATATATGTACTTGGTGCTATGAAATGTGCATTGGGCATTATTATCTCAATCGTGCAACGCGTGTCGTAATAACTAGTTCTCAGTAATATGATTCATTTGGTGTTAAATGGTAGATGTCATCTTGATCATACTCACTTCCTCCTGTTGGGCATTTATTTGCTGCTATTTTTAGCTAGTCAAGAGGTCCCAATTAGTGCTTTTATTCTCTAAATGGTTCTCATTTTATTTTATTTTAATAAGTAGTCAAAGGGAGCAAGTCATTTTTTTTAGTTTAAGTATTTGACATTTTTAGAATAATTAATTGATTTAGTATTCAAAGTGGGAACCTACTGCACGTGCCTTTACTTAATCAGGTGAGGATGCATTTTTACTTGCAGCAAACTAAGAGTCACGTGGGCAAACATATGACCAGAAAGAAAGGAAAAAAAAAAAACGCAGCAGCAAGTAAGGAAAGAAAGGAAAGCTGGAACGAGGACTTGATTTCAGTTTTGATCGGCTGAGAAGATTTCGGGATTGCAGCAACGGACGGAGTGATTCTCGACCAGAGATGGACGTTTCCGAATAGGGCGGCTGCAGCAAAAATAAATAGAGAAAAGAAGAAAAAAAGAGCAGAAAAAAAGGAAGAAAGAAGAGCACGCAAGAGCAGGGGCGCAGACCAGACAAAAACACAAACTGATCCTCATCCTTGGGGCAGTTTTCCATCTTTAATTTCTGCAATTTTTAGTCTAATTTGGTTCTGTTTTCCTTGATAGATGAATAACAGTAGCTAAACCCTTAGTTTTCCAATTCCAAGTTAATACTCTGTAGTTTAATTCGTGAGATTTTTGTGCTTAATGATTTATTCGCCATAGTATTCTATATTTTTGTGAATCAATTTCAGTTGAATTCATGAGATTAGTTAATTTGGATGCATACTTATTTACTATTCTTGTGAGTTCATTGCTAGTTGAAGTCTGATTTGTTGAAATTAGGGTTCATTATTGTCACGCCCCGGACCTATCCGGACACGTCAACAACCCGCCGTACAATACGAATAGTCAACCGCAGTCCAACACATTCATATTATACAAGGCGTCTTGAATATCATTCACACGTAAGCCATCCATAAACAAACATAATAAGTAATCGAATACATAGCGGAAAACATAGTTTGAAAACAAATGCCACACGTGGCTAACATGAGCACGCAGGCTCTATAGTAAAATATCCATGAGCATGTTTATAATTGTTTAAAACTGAATGGAGGAAGCACGAACCAAGTCTTCCCTCCTAGATGATCCCTCGAGCAACGGGCACAGGAAGCAAGCTCTAACCTCAACCTGAAAAATGGTGGTGGGACGCCCCCGAAGGGGTCAGCACTCTATACGGCTATAAAGTGCTGGTGTGGATGGCATCTAATAGATATACAACAAGTATTTCAAACACAAGACCCTCAAATAGGGTGATAGTATAATCTAGGCCGTAACCCCAAGTTACCCCTTTTTAAAAATATACTTACTTTATATATAAAGTCAAGTAGTCGGCCCGTAGGCCCAAGGTTTGTTTATCAAACATACCCCAAAATCCCGTGAC